TCTTGTGGAATACTGGGAAACTGGTCTGACAAAATCCAAGCTTATCTTTTAGCCATTCCTTCCAGATTTTCTTAAACTTATTGCAAGTATATCCCAAATGATTTATCCTCCTTGTCTCATTGTATTTCTGATTTAGTTGTTGAAATTGGGTAGAAATTTCAGTTGGAGTAACCTGAAATGTGGAAAACTAATATGGAAATAATGAAGAATTGGCTATGTGATTATTGTGGAATTTTAAAAACACTTGGCTATGACTATGAACTAGGACATTCAGAAGCATGTGGCATTATTGCTTGTATAATTACATTGCTATCGTTTTTAACATACTTTCTTCTTTGTCATAGAGCTGTGGTTTTAGGTAACTGTTTAATCTCAGTGGCAAAAAGAGTAACTGAGTTCAATATTTTCATCCCTATTTTTTTCTTTATAAAAATGAAAAAACAAAGAAATGTAATTTCCATTTTTGGAATGTACAAAATTGAGTGGTGTTTAAAAGAAAAGAATAGTCTCTGTGAGCACTCATTGACATAGATGTTGGCATAGCTAAAATTGGCAACGAAGAACATTTCTACCTTAAACATTTTTAGTAATATTATATTACACATAATTGCCATGGAAATAGAGTATATTCTTTGTAGTTATACATTAAATTTTCTCTTCATTAGAAATGATGTTTATGTGTTCATATAAATAACAGAGGCAATGGATTGGTATTAAGAGATAAAGATTTAAATTTGCCACTTGCTGTGTGACCACAAACTTAACCTCCTTCAAGTTCATTTTGTTTATGTATATATAAAGTGGTAATAATAATACTAACCTCAAAGTATTTATATGAGGATTCAGGTAATGAAGTTAAAGTACATAGTATTCAAAAAGACTAGTTGACCCTTAATGTTAGGTATAGACATTTTCTAGATAAATGTGCTATGTCAACAAAGAGGGTAAAAAGAATATCATTGAGTCAGTGGGGGACAGAAGACATTAGCATGCATTTTTCTGCAACTACATTTATTATTAGTCTTGTGGTCCCAAGCAGTTCAAATCATACCCAGGGCCCTGAATTGTCGGACATTGAGGACCAGATTCATTTAAAAGTCCATTATATGTAAGTTACTATAGTTATTTTTATGTTAAAATATTATTTAATTATTATTGAGAATAAAAAACCTGGTTTACTTCATAACCCATCTTGTGATCTTGTGATCTTGTCCCTAGATTCTCTATTGGCTTGTTATAAAGGTATGAGGTTTGTGTGTGAGAGTTTATGTGTCATTACATTACATACGTATTTACATTTTTGTCTAATGTGTTTACATTTAAATATCCTCTTCCTATGCTGTACATTCTCCTCACCCTTTTTATTGTATCCAATAGATACAATTGCAAAAGACCTTGTGAATTGCTACATGTGTGCTAAAGAATAACAATGATTTTCAAACAGTGCAGAATGCAATTAATTTTTATAGAAGACAGTATGTACCTGCCAAGTCGGTACTTTGAAAATGAAATTGTTTTTGATTGTGTGAAACTGCTTGAAAATGTGATTTTCCAAAGGCTTTTCTTTCTTTCTTTTTTTTTTTATGGCAAAAAGACAGTGATATGGGAATTAATTATAATTATGCACTCGAGGCTGGTTCTTCTTTTTCTTCTTTTTTAAAAATCAAAGCTTAAAAAAAACAGTTTCTTTGGACCGAGAGCAGTGATAAGACAGTCTTATGCCCTGGATTTTAGATGGAAAGGGCCTACTAGTGATAGCTTTGAGTAAAGGAATCGCTAACTGCACAGGAAGTTGCATACTTTAGGGGAGCCTGGGAAACACCTTTTTGGTACAAGCTGACATTTTCCTCTATTACTCCACTCACTCAGGATTGTAGGATAATGAGTTTACATTATAGGCCAAAACTATAAGTAGAAAGCACTAATTTATTCTGACAATGTGTCTTATCGAATATCAGGTGTAAAATATCCACAACAGTACGTTGTTAGGGACCTGTTGTGTAACAGCTTCCTAGATTAGCTAAAGTGTCACATACAAACTTCTGATTCCCAGATATAACCTGGTTTGTAATCTCTTTTGGCTCTTATCCTTGTCTTTTTGAATTGTGTGATATGTTTCCAGAAAAGGCAGATTAAACAGTGATTTTCTGAAACTAAGTTTTTATTTATTGGATATTGTAGGTGAGAATTTATAGTAAAAGCCTAGTATGATCGTTTTTGTGTGTGTGTGCTTACATTGCAAGGATGCTAATTTAATGATTTGCTTGAGATATGATATTTGAAGCAGTGGCTTGGAGGAGAGCAAGGTTATCAGAACTACTGCTGTGGCTTTGTCAACTTATCTATGCACCTTTCAACTCAGGTTTTGACTAGGAACTCCTTTGGTTAAGATAGCTGGTTTATTTAGAGCAGTTATTCTCAAACTTTAGCATGCTTCAGAATCACTTAGAAGGTTTGTTAATATCCACATTGCCAGACTCCATATCCAGAGTTTCAATATAGTTGGTCTGGGGTGAGTCCCAGGAGTTTGCATTTCTAACAAGCGCTCATGTGATACTGATGCTGTTGGTCTGGGGGCCAACCACACCTTGGGAACCACTGCATTGGGAAGCATTTGTCTCTGGTTCAAGATGTTAGGGTGTAGGGATAGGGAGTTTTCTAGAGAGGGAGGTAGGAGAAGATTGAAAAATGCTGATCATCTTGCTCAGGGTTTACCCAGAAGTGTTGACTTCAGTCAGATTTATTCCGGTGTATTACAAAGCTAAACATTAATGAGTATTACTACTGTTACTTTTTAATACATTTATTAACATTACTTTTATTTATGAGAATCAGATAAGGTTAGGAAGGACAATAGATTTGATTATGTCTTAACATTGACCTCCTCTTCCTCTTCTGGTTCTTGCCTCTCCCTTGGATCTGTGCCCCTTTCTGCCCCTCGTACAGTATAAATATAGATAGTCATGCTATAACTGTCTTTTGGAAATGAGAGAAATGATGAGACCGTATATGAGGTTTCTTGGAAAAGTTATGACATAAATCAAGATCACCATTATAGGAAAAGCCTTATTCATTTGGCTTCTACCTATTCAGATTTTGCAGCAGTTAGGACAGTGCTTGAATTGAAGTGCACCTATGCGATATGTATAAAGAGTTTCCAAAGCAAATTAGTAAGTTTAAGATATTGCCCAGGAAATTTAAATTACATAATGAAAAACTACTTTCAATTTATTTCAGTACTTTCATTTACATACAGTTGCTTTGTAATTAGAAATTAGTCTTATCTAATCATTTACATAAGCTACTTTTAACCAATGATTAGGATTGTGAAGACTTCATTGCCTTAGTAATATATAGTTCACATTCCTTTACTTATTCAGGTAGAATTTTTACCCATTTAGTTTAAGTAACTAGTTTTGTTTCTTTAGTGTAAAGTGTAAAATTGTATCTATTTGTCATTTCCTGTTAGCTTCAAGCCCAGCGTTATTTGGGGGTATTCATGTTTGTACCTGGTGTCTTTTGTGTTGAGTGGACACTAGAAACCTTGTATGTGGTTCAAAGAAAAAAATGTGGCCTTCAACGAGGTTCTTTTAATTTTGCTCATAAAGCATTTTTTCAGATGTTACTTTCCTTTGAAAAATGCTCTGTGCTCAAATTTTCCTAGAATAAAACATCCACCAGGTAAAGGGCTTAAGAGATTTGGGCCATGCTTACTCAATGAAGTGCAACAGAGTGGAAAATATCCTGTCTTGCCAGCCCAAGAAAATTATGATTTTCCTGATCTAGTGGTTAAAGGCAATTATATTATTTAAAAAGTTACTGTTAGATAGACGTTAAATTATTAGAAGTAGGTTTTAGTCTTTTATAAAATTATGTATTGGTGTTTCAATCTGAAGGAATCAAAGTCTGTAATCTAAAGAATTATTTGGAAGCACATATGAAGCTGTGTTTGAACTTCTGTGCTTTTTCAACCCTTGTCCTCTTGGTGTGAAGACCGGCCTGAGTCAGATCATTGAGGATTAAGGATGAATGCATTGCTCAGCACCTCGCAAGAGTTGGGTCAAGCACCCTGGCTTTGAAAACTTACTCTTTTGCTTAGTAAGCCTGGAAATTTGAGGTCCAACTGCAGAATTAAAGTTCAGCATTCTGTTGGTAACAGTCTACTTGAAAATGGTATTTAACTCTTCTAGATGTCCCTCCTCTCTGTTCTTGTGTAACGGTCTGAAGTCATTGACTAGCTTGCCAGTGGATTTTACCTACAGCAGCTGTGTTGTCAGAGAGCATGATTCCCATGAAATATTCCTGATGAAACCATCCCTTGACTTAAATAAGAAATTTGGCTTGTTGAGGGAGAAGATGGGATATACTTATTTTAGTCTGGCAAAGGAGAATGCAGGAAATAAGGGAGCCTGTGACAATACTATTTTGAGGGAAAGAATGGGGATTCTGGATCAGATGTCCACTAAGGATAAATATTCTTAATTAAAGTGTTAGCTAGAGACAGGGACGCAGATGGCTTTTTGGGTTGATTAGAGCAAGCGATGTCCTCAGAAGGATTACAGAGACCTGGCTAGGCCTGTATTACAGAGGACGGCTAGGCCTGTATCCTGGGGCCAGCTCTGCTGATGTGAGGAAAGAGCTTGACTCTGCAGGGGACAGGAAAAGGAAAGGATATCAGGTAGATTAGGATGTGTGTTAAAGGGCTGTGACAAAGAGCAAACAAAACCAGGAGCAAATCTATTTTTATGTTTAACTGTTTTTGACGTTTCTTTCAACATTTAACTTATCTTGAAACAGAGTCAGGCAGTAAGACTTAAACATGTTATTTGAGATTTTTCATACTTTTCATTTAACCATGTTTGTGCTCCACCCAACCTGGACATAGCTAAAGCATCATTACCATGCTCATCATCATTTACTAGTGTTTATGAAGCATACAACCGAAGTCTTTGGGTTTTTTAAAAGAAATATTTAATTAGGATTTTCTTTTGTTTTACCAGGTAGCCCAGCCATGACCCATAGGAATCTGACTTCCTCCAGTCTGAATGACATTTCTGATAAACCAGAGAAGGACCAGGTAAGCAAAGAACTCTTGCTTCTTTGAAATGTAAGACCAAATGTATATCTAAGAGATGCTGGGAAAAGATTGGAAAGATAGTTCTCTAACTTAAAATGAACCAATTAGTGTAGATGGGGGTTTTGCACTTTCTCTGAAGGAAGAGGTAGGTGGCAGTATGTGAAGGGATTTGAAGTTCAGAAGATAAATCTTGACTCCAGCCTTTACAGATATATTCTCTTGGACAATTTAAATCTTGGAGCTATAGTTGTCTCAGCTTTAAAATAGTAATAGTAATTTCTACCTTAGGGTTATCATGAGGATTAAATGGGATACTTTATGAAAAAGTGCATTGCTGAACTATAAAGGGCTAAGAAATACTGGCAATTGTTAACTTTTGGGAGATATTTTAGGCAAAGGCAATGTAGTGTTGTTAACTGTTTATCCCTTAAAACATATAGTAAGTAGGTTATTTGAAACGAAGAGCAATTAGATTTTGAATCTCGAATATCTTTCTTTAAAAAGAATGTGGTAGAAACTGAGCCATTTTCCCAATTGGGTGAATAGCTGGGTAGAGAATATAAAAAAAGGTAAGTATTAGGTATAATTTTGCATTTTATAATAAAAACCAAAACCAGTTATTTGAACTAAGAGGGTGAAAATTCCACCTGAATAAATAAATCTGAATTAAATATTCCTAAGGTAATGAAGGCTTCCTTGTGATGATGTTCCTCTTTAGCTTTAACTGGCAGTACTTGTAGTCGTGATCAGGTTTATAGGTCTTGGTGAATTATAAAGAGCACAGGAAAGGTGAAAGTATGTTTTTTTTCTTGTGAAATAGCTTTTGGATTTTTCCTTCTTTTCACCAGCAGCACCCTAATAGGACCTTTATCATCTCAAAATGGATTGCTAGAAAAGCCTTTGGAACTAATCCCTTCTCCATTTTCTCCCAACTTAGTATACTTTTCATATTATTGCCCTCATATTTCTCCCCTGAATCAAAAGCTTAGGGTGGCTTCCTGTCAAGTTCAGTTCAGAATTCCTTATCTGACTTTTAAGATTCTCTGAAATCTGGTGTTATTCTTCTCATCTGAATTTATTTGCTACGAGAGGGAGTCTGCTTTAGTCAGGCCTAATTTCCCTGTCTTTACATTGAATTCTTGACCCCTACAGCTGCTACCCCTTCAAATGCTAGTACGAGTGGCTCTCCTTCCCTCCATTTGCCTGCCTCTTGAAATCATCAGGGAAAAAATCATTTAAATATGGGATACATTGACAGGTACATACCTGTAGCAGAAAATGGAAAACTCAGTTCACTAGGACTTATTGACAATTTTCCTCAGAACTAATTTACACATCTTGGTTCCAGCCAATGTTAATCAAGCAACATACTGGTAATGAAGTTTGCCAGGGGTCCTGATTCTGGATAAGGCAGAGTTAGGAATATCTGCTTGACAGCCTTTTTTGAGGCAGGCTTCTTTTATTAGGCACAGTTCTCCCTTTGCCATGAATTTGCCAGCTGGTAAATGCTGACTGAGAGAAATTTCCTACCTTCTTGGGTCTCTTCATATCCGGGCATATGAGGAAGAAATCCGATTGCTTAGGATGTTTATTACATAAGATTTTGATTCAGGTGTTAGAAGAAATAGGCTGGAACATTATGATTTTGGGGTATTGAATTTGCTGTAAAACTTGTGTGATCATAGTCCTTGAAACCATAATCTTTGATACCTATCACTAACATCTCATATTCATTAAGGTTCATAATAAGATGAAACCAGGAAGATTTAATTCAGTTTTGTTCTTTTTGTTTTCAAAGCCAGAAAATGAAGTTGATGAGTATATCATTATAAGAGCAACTATCCATCCTCATTTATCTAATGTAATAGCCATGGTTAATCAAATGAGCTCTTCATCTCTCCAAAGAGGAAGAAGCTCTATTCTTTGATTCTCACCAAAGAGTTTGAAGAGAAGCTTTGTAACTGACCTATGATTTCTTCTACAACCAAAGGTAGAGTAGGAGTTTAAATTAATAGTTCCAGTTTCTATACCTACTATTTTAGTAACTTCAAATACAGAAGCTCCTGGATCATTTTAGGGTGATAAGAAGAAAATGGGCTTGCAAAGAAGATGAAGCTATGGCAAAAAAAACAGTAAACCCAGGCTTTATTTTTTTAACCTGCTTTTTTCTCTGTTTGTGTAGGAAAAAATGGTTGCCAGGCTCAAATTTGTTTTGAAAAAGCTTTTATAATTAATTAGCCAATGTCCTGGAAATGATCTTGGCAGTAAAGTCAAACTTGTTCTATATGCTTTTCCAAGTTGGCCCCAAAAACTTCCATTCGACTGGAAGTGAAGTTTCTGATTGACTGATTATTCTGCCTGAATACAATTTGAACAGTGGTGATGGTGCCTCACAACTTTCAAGAGCTATATAACTTCTCAGGAGCAGAAGAAATGGGTTTAGTGTTCAGAGTTATGAATAGGAGCAGAATTTCTCTTTCTGACAGCTACATAGTGACAAAATTTGAAGGCATATTTTTTATGAGATTCTGTTTTGGGAAAACAGAAGAAACAAATCTGTAGACTGTACTTTTTCTTTCTGGCTCTGCCAAGCCAATGTACTGATGATTTCAGTAGCGGCTGCCTTATTGAGAAATAGCTCAGAATAGTTAACAGCAGAAAAAGAGCATAGCCAAAATTTAGGTGATTCAATGCTTCAACAATATTCCAACTTGGATGTTATATTTATTAAGCAGAAAAACACCTGGGGAGAAGTAGATTTAAAAAATTACATCTGGAGCTCATCTACTTATAAATCTACATAAATAATCTCTTCTGTTTTGTTGCTATGGAGGATTTTTTTGTTCATTATCCAGTTATCTTCCCCAATTTCCTTACATTGATTTGTTTTTCTCTCTCCTTTTATTCCTTTTCTGTTCTTAAAAAAATTCACAAGTGCAGTGGATGCTTATCAAAAACAGTGGGCTTAGTTCTCATTTTCATGTGAGTAGGAAATTAGCTGCGAGGATACGAAAATTTTTCTCATCATGTTACCTCTTAGTTTTAACTCTCTGGTAGAGGTACTGTGCTAAATAGTACATTGAATTTAAAAGGGCTTGACTTTCTCCCCCAGTTTTATCAATATAATCCAATAGCATCTCACAATTACATAACCTACCTAAGTGAATTTGCAGTTAAAAGACTATAGTGGATGTAGTAGATGTAGAAATACCTTGCCGATTCTTAGGGAGACACTTATGACTCACATAATCTTATAATTTCTTATGTGGTTATCACTTCCATGATACTCATTATTTAGCTAGCTTTTCTAACAACCTAACCGTGGGTCTTCTGGTGGAATTTGGCTTAAGGTTAATTTCTAAAGTGTATTGTAATAATTTTTAGCCCTATCTATTGCCTATTATCTTTAAATATACTTGGCTGTCTTGATTTCTATTTTCGTTTTGGTCTTTTGGAGAAACAGACTTGAATTTAAATACTTTGTCAGAGTAAGAGGATGAAACCATTAAACCATGTAGAAGTTTGAAGTTGCTAAGCCATGACTGCCTTGAAATGAAATCTAGAAAAAACATTTTGTGATTGAATGACCTCTAATCCTTTTCTTGTGCATATGTAATATAGGAGCAAGACAGCTAAATTCAGCTGAGATGACTTTTTCATAGTTTTGAAGATTTCCATTTGAAGGCTCACATAAAGCTCCCCTTAGCGTCAATAACTGTTTCAAAATCGCAGTGACAGTAAAGTACAATAGCAGCTCCTTTTCTTTTTTGTGGCTCAGCCAGAAAACCCTCTAATTTACACTGAGCACTGGGTGGTCTCGCTCCACTCCTCAGAGAAGGTGCAGTGGGTGAGAAAGGCTCATCTTTTCCGAGGTTCTAATACTTGTCTTTAGCGTGTTTTCTGAGACAAGTGAAACACTGCTGTGGTGGGAGGACTCCAAATGGAATCACATCTGTGAAAACCTGAGAGCGAAGGCGTGTTGTGAGGAGGTGGTTACACTTATTAGATGTCATTAAGTCACTACAGTTTTGGTAACTGCCTTGTGCTTCCCTGTGGTTCAGTGGCTACAGCTTCCCTTTGCCAGTTGTCCTTGACTGGAACCGGTGTGGCCATTGCACACTGATTTGGAGTCCCTTTCAAAGGTGATTAGCATGCTGCTTAGATAATCAAAAACAACAACAACTGATGTTTATCATCATCTTTTTCCTTTCTACAAAAAATTTAACTTTACGTAGCTTTCTTCTCTCACCTTATACTCCCTTCCATATTCTTCAAGAATTAACAGTCAGTAGTTATTAGTCGTGTTTGAGAAGCACTGACCTTCATATTGACTTTAAGAACCCATATTCTTGATCCTGTATCCCAATTTATATTGGGACAGTTGAATTTTCCCATTTTCATAATGCTATTTTTCCATGAACACTATTTATCTGGATCAGAAGACTAGCATTCATTTAAAAACAGGTTTTGTGTCAGCTCAAAGATGAAGCAGATAAAACCTGTCTGAAGTAAACTAAGTGCTATCTTGTGTTTTCAAGTAAGAAAAAGAAGCGTCTTTTGTAAAATTTAGAACTATGGTTTAAGTAACTGTGAAGCTGCAATCAATTTAAACTTTAAATCACCCCATAACTATATGCTGCTGTGATTTAAACTCATTCATTAGTTCAGAAAGCATATTCTTTGCTAGAAAGTGTTCCTGGTGGTAGGGTTCCAGAGTTACATGAGACAGATAAATGTTCTGACACATGGAACTTCCTTGCTTTTTGAGGACAGATAGACAATTAACATCAAAAACAAGTAAACAAACAAGTAGGATAATTTCACACAATGATAAGTGCTATCCTGAAAATACAGCAGGATGATATGGAGAAGTACAGAAAAGCTGTTTCAAGTAGGAGGGTTTGCCAGAGGAAAAATCTGGAGGAAGAAGTTTCCAGGCTGAAAGAAAAGCAAGAGTAAAGCCTTGAGGCAAGAAATCAGTGTGGCGTATTCACGAAATA